GCAGGTGAAGTCAACAGAATGGTTAGTGATATATCTATTCGGCATTGGATTTTTTTTTTTTTTTTTTTAAATACTTCCTGTTGGTGTTGCTTAATAATGTACCAGTAGTAAAGACTAATTGTCAAAAACACAACCCCTATCTAAGTAGATTTTCATGTCACCGTTGGTGGTTTATAATGTTTCTCATATATGAGGCCAGTGTAATATTAATTAATGTTATAATACTAAAAAGATTTTTAAAAAGGCAAATAATTCCATAACAAGGTTCTCGCAAAATGTATACAAATATCTTTTGCCGGTAAAGCTAACAATGTTTCCCTTTCAGATAACTTTCCTTGTCACCGTGAGCGCCGCCCTCTTGTGCTCACGCGCCTTCGCTGCGAGTAGCTACTTGGGTCTTGCCCAGGGAACGCCACTCGGAGGATTTTCGCAACATGGCACTCTTCACGGTGGCTTGATCCCCGGTGGTCTTTATGGCAACGGTGCGTCCCTTGTCAACCAAGGACTTCCACTGGGACATTTGCCAGGACCGATATCCGGGAGTGGAGGCTACTTGGACTACGCATACGGGACTGGTGCACACCTTGGAAATCCTTATGGAAAATCAAGGTTTCTCAAATATTTATACAGAAACCCCCTTGGCCTTGCCAACCCGTACGGCGCTCTACGAAACGTTGGAGTCGGTGGAGTGAACGAGGCTGAGGATGAAACATCGTCTACCTCTGGAGCAGGTGGCGCAGACTTCGTTTACAACAATCAAATCAGGGATTCCTCTCTAACTGGAATTCGTGGTTTACATTCCAGTCTCATTGCTGGCTTGGGTGGCTTCCATTCCGCTCTTCTTCCTCACACTTCCAGTGTTGCTTTAGGAACACACCCTTATGCTCTTGGACCTCACACTTCCATTGCTGCTTTGGGAGGATTCCCTTATGTTGCTGGACATCACGACTCTCTTTCTGCCTTTAGTGGAATCCTCCCTAATGTTGGAGCTGCAGGCCAATTTCCGTATGGTCTTCAGCCTCACACTCCCATTTATTATTTAACTGGATTCCCTTATGCAGGTGGACCTCACGCTCCCCTTCCTGCTTCAACTGGATTCCACGCAGGTCTTGGCCCTTACCCTTCGCTTGCAGGTCTGGGTGGACTGTCTCCTTATGTTGGACCGTATGCTGCTGGTGCTGGTTTTGGCAGATTCAACACTGCTTTTGGACAAAATATCCCAAGCGATGCTTTAAGGTATCGTTCCTCACTCAACATGTCTTCAGGGAACATGAACAACCAGGAAGCACAGGAGAATAAATTTACAAGACAGGCAGAAATGCAAACAAACTTGTAGAGATTCACACGAATAAAATGACTTTCATAACTTATTTTGAAGTTTAATCTTGAAACCACCCTTTCCTTGTTATTCTAATTGATATTGACTATATATATAAAAAAGAAAAAAGTTTAAGCAGAAATGCACGAGTAAAGCATTAAACAAAAGTTTAAGAATTCTTATTTTCATTTAGCTGTAACATTTCTATTGTCTCCAACCTTCGTCTATCATATATCGTAGGAGTTCATATAAGTAAGGTGCCAATTCCAGGATTAATCTGGAAAAAGTAATATGCAAACATGATTCTGAGATCTTTGATCTTTCTGCGTGTCTCTTTTTATTACGAATGTTCTGGCATATTTCAATTCATTAGAACGAACTGATTAGTCGAATTCCTGTTATTGAATTCGTTATCCTCCATCGCAGCTTTTGCTGCAACCTTTTATTATACCATTTATAAATTACAGAAGCAGTATTTCAGCTTTCAAAACAACTGACGGCTACAGGATCTCGTGCAGCAATTTTTTTTTTCGAGCAAACATTTCCACAAATAGAATATACACATAATCCACAAAAAGTATTCGTGGTATAATAGATTATTTGGATAAATCTTATGGATAAATCTTGATATTGATTTTAGTGTATTGTATACGCATATAAATATACACATGCACACTTTTAAGGGCACATGCACACACGTGTGTATGCATGCATCTATATGTGTGTGTGTGTGTGTGTGTGTGTGCACATATACATATATAAAGAGAGAGAGAGTATAAATGTATACAATCTAAATCACATATACATACACTTACAGACATACACATACATGTGTGTATATACATAAAGATAAATAAAGGAGAAATATATATGTGCACGTGTGTTTATATGTGAATGTAGGTATATATACATAAGTACCTATGTATTTTGTAAGCGAACGAATATTCCTGCATGTTGTTTTATCAGGTTCACATATCATTTCTGTTGTCTGGTAAACTATGTCCGGACTTTTTTTTTCTAATACATTTGGGATCACCTGTAGAAAATAAATGTCTTCTGTACACACACATAAATATACCTAGACGAGCGCTTATACGTATATATATATATATATATATATATATATATATATATATATATATATATATATATATATATATATATATATATAGCACACATATATAAATACACACACTCATATATATGTGTGTGTGTTATGTATATGTAAATATATTTATGTATAGTTGTTTATGTATATGTGTGTGCGTACGCTTCAATGTGTATGTGTATATGTATGTATCTACGTATTTTTTTGTAACTAAAATTATGTGTATGTGTTTGTGCGCATACAAGAACATTTGGCAGAAAACCGAAGTAGCCTATTTTAAAATGAATCAACTCCGCCATAAGTTCATTGTTCGGACAGAAACAATTGCACCTGTTCGCTGTGACCTTTTAGTGCTGAGCATTCAGATCGCAGACCAGTATATAAAGCATCCGCCGTTCTCGGGTCCCAAGCCACATAGGCATACAAGGGAACGAGCTTGCTGATAAACTAGCCGCAAAGGGCAGGGGTATGCCCCCATCCTCCATGATCGTTAAACCCAGCCGAAGGGGACTGAGCCAAGGTACCAAAGCTGCAGCGTGTGCGGTCCTCCGAGGAGCACATAGAGAAAACATCACAAAATCGCTCGCTGCCAAGTGGTACTCAGGTGCTTCAGGCGTGCTTAGGCTGAGGCCTTCCTCCAAATACAAAAAGAGGTACCGAAGTCATACTATTCAGACTAAAGACTAGGTTACCAATGCGCTTGGCAAATTATTGACAATGAGACTGCGAGTTATGCAAACACTGCGGCGAGCCTAACGCCACCCTGTTACATTACTTGCAGAATTGTGTACACACACAATTTCTGAGGCAGGGACCACCCACCACAGCCGCCGGGCTGGTAAAAAAGGGTGTGCAACATGCTTTCTCCGTGGCAGCTAGATCGCTTGCTTGCAATCCAGCCACCGCGATAAGCATGCAGTTCAAAGAAAACATCTGAGTTAACTAGAAATAGTTAACACAGGCCGGGCCACTCCAGAGAAAAGGCCCGGGCGAAGCATGACTTCGCAAATCTAACTGAACTGAACTGATCGGGGACAGAGCAGTCGCTGCAGGTGAAGCCGACAGAATGTTCGTAATATGTCATCGTTAAATGAATTTAACTGGCTCTGCTTAATGTGCTGTCAGTGTCAAGGAAGGGATACGAAAGAACTATTCCTATATGTTTGGGAAATTAATATAATGCTTAATGAAAACTTTCCTATAGCCTTATTCAAAATCAATTATTCTAAAAATAGTTTATTTGTATTAAGTAATTCGTTGATGACAATATGTGAAAACGGCCATCGCACTTCTCTAATAAGCTTTGAAACTTTGCGAACCTTTCAGAAACTATTCCTGTCATCGTGAGCGCCGCCCTCTTGTGTTCACACGTCTTCGCTGCTAGTAGCTACTTGGGACTTGCCCAGGGAACGCCACTCGGAGGATTTTCGCAACATGGCACTCTTCACGGTGGCTTGATCCCCGGTGGTCTTTATGACAACGGTGCGTCCCTTGTCAACCACGGACTTCCACTGGGACATTTGCCAGGACCGATATACGGGAGTGGAGGCTACTTGGACTACACATACGGAACTGGTGCGTATTTTGGAAATCCATATGGAAATCAAAGCTTCTCAAATATTTATACGAAAACCCCCTAGGCCATGCCAACCCATACGGCGCTCTACGAAACGTTGGAGTCGGTGGAGTGAACGAGGCTGAGGATGAAACATCGTCTACCTCTGGATCAGGTGCTACAAGCGGCGCAGATTTCGTTTCCAACAATCAAAACGGGGTTTACATTCCAGTCCCATTGCTGGCTTGAGTGGCTTCCATTCCGCTCTTCTTCCTCACACTTCCAGTGTTGCTTTAGGAACACACCCTTATGCTCTTGACCTCACACTTTCATTGCTGGTTTGGAGGATTCCCTTATGCTGCTGGACATCACACCTCTCTTTCTACCTTTAGTGGAATCCTCCCTAATGATGACCTGCAGGCCTATTCCTTTATGGTCTTCAGACTCACAGTCCCATTGAATATTTAACTGGATTCCCTTATGCAGGAGGACCTCACGCCTCCCCTTGCTGCTTCAGCTGGATTCCACGCAGGTCTTGGACGAAATACTCCAAATGCTGCTTTAAGGGCTCATGGTTCAGCCAACAAGTCTTCAAGGAATACAAACAAGCAAAAAGCAAAGAAGCTATAACTTTATAAAACAGGCAGAAATGTAAAGAAACGTAGAATTTTCTGAGAATAAATTACTTTCAATACTTATCATGAAGTTTTAATCCTCCTATAAAACACCCTTTCCTTGTTATTCTAATTGATATTGACTAGAAAAAAGAAAAAAAAAACAAGTTAAAGCAGCAATGGATGAGTAATGGCATTAAACCGCAGAATTCTTAATTTTCATTTTTGCTGTAACTTTCTTCTTGTCTCCTACTTTCGTTTATCCTATAGTTGTAGGTGTGCCGATTCCAAGATTGATCTGGAAAAAAGTAATATGCAAACATGATTCTGAGATCTTTGATCTTTCTGTGTGTCTCTTTTTAATACGAATGTTCTAGCATATTTCTCAATTTGTTAAACGAACTTATATGTCGAATTGCTGTTATTGAATTCTTTATCCTCTGCCCCACCTTTTGCTTGAAAACTTTTATTATAACAGTTATGAATTACAGAAGCAGTATTTCAGCTTTCAAAACAAATAACGGCTACATGGATGATCTCGTACAGCATTTTCCTTTTCAATCAAACATTTCCACAAATAGTGTATACAATAAATCCAAAGCCAATAGATAAAACTATTCGTGGTATAATAGATTATCTACCTATGATGAAAAAATCAGAAATTGTCAAACTGATAAAATCTAACAATGATTTTCAGTGTAATATATATGCAAATACATATTAACATGGGTATTAATCATATGGGCACAGGCAAATATAAGTGTGTATGTATGCATATATTTATATATATGTATGCGTGTGAGTATACACACATGCATCTATACATATATATGAAA